TTGTTCAGGATTTTCCCCCATTTTACATTTTACCGCAAGATTCGATCCCTTACCGAAGGACCCTCAAACCGTGAACACTTACTGAACTTCCTCATAGTATTGTTTCAAACCCTGTAAAGTAAGACATTGAGTTCAAGTATCAAAATAAGATGATTAACAGTATGTATTTTAAAAAAGGGACAAAAAAACAACAAAAAAACTCAAAGGGTTCGCGTTTCGAGTGTCCTCACTGTAAATACTCTCACAACGGTATCTTACGTTAACTTACCACAGACAAATATGAAAGCATAAGTGTTTTAAGGGGATTTTCTTATATTCAAAGTGTTTATGAGACAGATCCCCTGAATTTACTTMCGAAAATAATCTACATTTTATCATTTTTCTGCGTTTATGAAAAATGTTTTTGTCACAAATGGACCCCAATGTTTCTCAGTAAAGAAATCTATTTCTTTTCTTTTCTATCAATAATTCTCCCGCAGAGGAGGGAAGTTACTTCTTCGCCATTAGGTGTTTTTGCAGGCTACAAAGTAGTGGGCAGGCATTGACGTAATTATCTCTCTGGAGAAATTGTACAGGCTGGCGTGAAATGCCGGTAAAATACTAAATAGGAGGCGGAACAATAGCTAATGACGAAATTATTTCGAATCGAGTCAATGCACGAATTACTCTTTCGGCCAGTAGRATTTGAGTGGTGGTTTTGCCTGCTGTAAGATAAAAAACTCGTCAGTATAGCTCAGTGATGGTTACTAGTCATACACTCAACAGTACTTAAAAWGCTCGTGTTGAGTTAACAAGAGTAAGAGGTTGCTGTTTATGATGCAAATCAGTCGAGAACTTTATTGCCATTGAACACGACTGGAATTTATACTCAATCCTTGATTGATTTAATTATCAAAACAAAACAAAAACAGAGCTTAAAGTGGAAAGTATAAGGTATGTTTGGGAATTGACATTGACGTCTTTTAGGTTTTATTTATTTATTTATTTTATAATTTATTTATAGTACGTTGTTTTCTAAACTATGAAAAAACACATTTTTCAATATATAAATAAAATAATGGAGCTCGAGTATGTCACGATCATCATATCATGACCAAGAATCTGTTTTGACAGAATCAGACATTTCAACGGCTTGTTTTGAATTGGTTTTTTACTGCCGCCATTCAGCAATATAAAATGTACCGCCTGATTTTTTTTGATTGACGGCAGCCAAAAATCGAATTTCAGCGTACACCTCGCAACTAATACAAAGTTCGCAGAATATCGAAAACCGCAATAAAAGTCGGACAATAATAAAATGCATAAAACATACGTAAGTGGCAAGGGAAGTCGTGGACGTTTTAGGATTTTTTAGCGCACGTTACAATGGGAAGCCATTCCAGAATTACCGGTTACGT